TTCATGCTGGAGTCCACGTGACTTGCCTCGTGTTTAGCTCTTGACGCTACAAGACATCACCCGCAGTCGGCATCAGTGGCGCGTTTGCTGTCGTCTCCATCTCGCATTGCCTGATTAAAGTGCGTTTAGTGCTGAGTTATCTGTGCTGCTTGTGTCGCTGGCACTCCGAAAGGCAGAGTTTCCAGCGCTGCCGTGCATTCAACCTTGCTATACGGTTGTGCAACCTGGCTCATGAGCTCGACAGACATAAAGAGGTTTGTTACGTTCAGCAATCGCTACCTTCGCAGTTTAGCTAATGTATGGTAGAAACAGTGTGAGCAAGGAATGTTTGGCATCGTGTATTTGGTGCAGGAAGAGCAATTGAACAACAGCACTGTTCTGTCACGCACTCCGATGGTTGGACCATGTGCTGTGCACGCCGGCACACAGACTCCCGTGATGTATGTTGCTTACGCCACCTGATGGATGGAAGAAGAGGAATGGAAACCAAGCGATGATTTGGCCAAGAGAATGAAGACTCACTTCGAAGTTGGCATCGGTTGGTGTCTCCCGACTGCCAGACACGTGTCCCGATGATGACGAACACGTTTGATTACATATACTAGTTGACATATCAATGAGCCGACCACCATGGCGTTTGTGTTGTATTTCTATGTCCCCCCATCCCACTTATCTTCCCCTTAAACCACGATCTCATTCTTGAAGCGTAATATGTTACTTAGCATTATATTACTTGTTTATTTAGCTTTTGTATTCCATAATGTTTAGTATCTCACCTTTTTGTATTGCGGCACATTGGCCGAGGTGCGTTTTCCACCCTCAGCTAACCTGTAGTGATGCCCGAGAAAAATTAAACTCCAGAATGCATCGTTATTTCAATAGGAAAACGATTTGCGCCAGTGATGTATAGCCAAAACTTCAAGCCGTTTCAGGAACATTTGCGTCTGCCACATGACACTCTACGTGCCTCCCCATTAGCTAACGGAACTGTTATACCAATTAGAGCGGCTGCCCTAGCTGTTCTGAAACGTGTCCATCCCTGGATTGATTTATAAATATCCACTGGTTTTTACACTACTTACACCCGCTTTCAATAGCTTTCTGCAACACGCTTTTTCTCCTAGTCGTTTACATCTAATTTTGACTATAATTCGGAGCTAACAGGCCGAAATCAGTTAGGCCGGTGTAGCATAAAGAGACTGTTCTTACAACTAGTGGCGATAATGATGCCTGACGGCTGAGATTCTATTTCGCTGAAGCTCGATGTCCTTAATATAAGAGGGTGAACGTTTGTTATGCATGGTATCCTTATCTGACCAATTTTTTTATCTTCAGTCTGTTAACGTACATTGTGCCATCAGAACCATGGCAGAAGAAAACAATAGAGAGAATAGAAACACGAAATGCGAGTATTTATGTCGTTATATGCGTTTACTTTATTCGATATCGGCATTTTGAGTGATTGGCTGTTGTTTGACATCCCAGGTGTGGCTTCGCTTGATGTGCATGGTGACAAGGTGCCTACCTGTCTACTACCCACTACCTCGTTCATATATATATATATATATATATATATATATATATATATATATATATATATGCATATATATCTGTATATATATATGCATATATATATGTATATATATATGCATATATATATATATATATGTATATATATATCTATATATATATCTGCCCCATGCTGAGGCTGATGTTGCATTCTTGATGCTTCTTTACCGCAGTTGGGCTAAACCAACTTACACTTAAACTAGGTCTTTTTAAGCTGGCTAACTTTCATTCCGCTTTATTTGGTTTGTTCTGCCTCCCTGAATAATGTTCTATTAACTGGCCACGTTGCTTACACTAATTGCGCTTATCTTCGGTAATTTTGTTGCGTTTGTAGCATTTTAAGTAACTTGTGGACATTTCTTACTTATCACGGATTTGTTGCTAACCAACTTACTTCATATGGTAATTTAGCGAAGAGTTATGCCACCGTGTCTGTATGCATTATTGGATTTATTTTATTTCAGCTTGTCGTTTAAAGTGAACGGCTGTTGTTTGATATCCCTGGTATAGTTTCGCTTGATGTGTATGTTGACAAGGTGCCTACCTGTCTATTACCCACTACATCGTTCATACTGGCTCCAGGAGACAGTTGGTCGTTGCTGGAGGGGACGGGATGCACGGTTCTTGTAGCCGTGCTAGGCTCAAAGAGCGGTTCCATGCACTAAGTGTGGAACGGACTACGGTCCAGCCACCGCCTTGTGTGCGGTTGATTCCCCAAATACAGCGTGCTTGTGTTTGCCTGTGAAGGAGTGTGGGCCGGCTCCGTTGATGAAACGTGGTTCCTATCCGCATGCCTCCCGGTCTTATTCCTTCGGGTTTACACTGGATATGGGGTATGTGGTTGGAGCTGTGGGTGGTGCAGCGCAAGCCATCCATGGTCCCTCTGTAGGCGCAGGCGTCCTGTGGCTAGCCACAGTGACAGGCAAATCCGAAACCGGATGCCGCCAACCATATATATATATATATATATATATATATATATATATATATATATATATATGGACGAGGTAGTGGGTAATAGACAGGTAGGCACCTTGTAGGCACCTTTGCAGCATACTGAGCCCAGCGTACTGCTGATGCCTTTGTTAAGTTTGGAGATATTGTCTTGAATCCGAATTATTTCGTTCGTGATCTGAGCGGCGTTTCTTTTGTGAACTTTTCTTTCCTGCATGTGCTCGCACAGAATTGGGGTAGTGGTTATCGGATCCCAAGAGGTATAGAAGAAGCAGATGAGAAAGAAAGGAACGTGGTATTTACAGTAGCGTGCTTTTACCTAACCGCCGTACTATATGCGGAAGTTATGGTGCCCATTTTGTAGCTGCGCGATGACTGATGCAGATGTCATTGTAATTTTGTGCCATAGTCATTGTTGTACGTGGGCTCCTAAACATACACGGGACAGCAGTTCGAGACTTCAGCCAGTGCCTTTGGCTCAAACGCGTCTCCGAAAGGCTGCGGTAGGTGGCAGTGAACCGGTTTTACTGAAGGGAGTGCCATCCCATTTCTAATCTCCATGTTGGAGAACGGGCCGATTGCGTTTAGCTGACCTATACACACTGACCAATGTAATAGCATCATCATAATAATTATTATACACGCTAGCTAGAGGTGGGAAGCACCTCAGCTACTGTGCCGCAATACATCAAAGAAAAAAGTGGATAAATGCAACAGGTGCAAGCCAGCTGAGCTACCGTTAAACCGATGGGCATCGCTTCGGTAAGCTACCAGCCGGCAACTATGCAGCAAAAAGTTTACTATGGGAAACTATACTCGACTAAGTAGTGAGTGTTGTATGAATTGGCGGAGAACAAACACACCATGAAAATGAGTATAGCCCGAATGAATAGGCTTTACTCAGCAAGAAAGCGAATCGAGTAGGCTGAAAAAGAGTATAGAAAGGTTGTGTTAAATAACGACAGCAAAGTGATTACGCGTTGAACTTCATATGTGTAATTTATGTCATTCTCCCCGACATGATGTTTGTGGACAATGGTGTGGGGGGGATATTTCTATACCTCGCGGTTACGCAAACAGTAAGCACGCGTTCGCTGTTGCTGCTCGTAAAGATGTGAAGGGTCAGGTGGACAATGGGGGACTATTCGGGGTACGCGAGTGTCTCGCCGTATCAGTAGCTGTTTCATTGGGATACCTGTGGAAGGGGTAGAAGGGTTAGAAGATTGACGCAGTCCTGACGGTGCCAAGTTGTGCAACGACCCAGTGTCTTCCTTTCCGTTGAGAAAGCGAATGTGAGCGTACCGGGGATTGCAATCCAATAGCTCGACGTCATCCACTAGTGGATCATATTTTGTAGATCTCCCGCTACGGCACAGCAAGACAGGCCCTGGATTACTCAGCCAACTTAGTAGTGAGACCCCGGATGTCGACTTACGGTTGTAAAGGAAAAGCCATGAGTTTGTGCCTGTGCAAAGTATGGAAGGAATTGAGTGTAAAGCGTCTAACAGAACACTTTCCTATTGGGTTATTGCGAGACCCCTAGATCGGAGTGCAAGGGTGATCAATTTCCAGATAACGCCATTAATCTGCTCCACTTGTCCGTTACCTTGGGAGTTATACGGCGTCATTCAGCTGACTGCAATGCCTTTTTGGGTGAGTGTCGCACTTCTTGGTACCTGAAAGATGAACCGCGATCAGTAAATGTAAAGCGGCATACCTAAGACAGAAAAGTTAGGTTAGACAATTAACGACTGTAGAGGCTGTCATGTCGCTGCATGCAAAAGCAAATGGGAATCTCGAAAATTCATCGCCAACGGTAAAGAGATACTTCTTGTTAGTCAATGAAGGTGAAAGACCCTTAAAACCTAAACCGAAAGGGTGCATTGCCTTAATGAGTGTTCCGACGGCTTGTAAAACGGCGCTTAAGTTCGGTACATACGCTGCAGCGAGCTATCATTACTTTCACTTCCTAAACAGAGAAAGGTAGGTTTTTGTTTTTATCTTTGTCGTTGTTTGTATTGCAACACGCAATCTCATATTGCGCCATGGTTTAACTTTTCCTTTATCTCGGTAGTTTCGGGTCGTATCTATAACGTAGAATGTCTAGACGCCGTGTTCTGGCGAAGTAGCACGGGAACTTTCTCTGTTCTCATCTCATTCGAAATCCCGATTGTCTTACTTCGTATGCGCTTCGGTCATTGTTCTTTACTAACATTCTGCTTTCTGACGGCGTCTCATTGCCAAATGCGACAACTTGTTGTTGGACGTTTCTCAACATTCACTTTGGCGTTTGTTTGCCGTGTACCGTCCTCGATTTTTGATTTGTTCACGAAATTTCCCCTACATACCGTTTGTCTTTTATTGTTATACTCTTCTCACTGGGACTTTTATGCCGCTTCCGTCTACGAATTTTAGGCCTCCCGTTCTTACTGACCAGCTGTCAACGCGATTGGGATGTGCCCACTGACGGAAAACTTATGCATCCACAACGAAATGCTGTCACTACCTCAACGTCTCACGAGTCGCAAGCTTCATTACCGAACGCTTTCAACCAATCCACTACAGTGACCATTTCTTCCCTTCACCTGAACGCTATGAACTTGATCCCTACAGCATCGTACCCATCTATAGCAATGACTGGCGCGTCAGTTTCGGGCGCCGTTTTTGCCTCAGCGATAGTACCGCAGCAGCAACATCAGCAGTCGCAACAGCACCAAACACCCAACCAACCGTTGGTTTTTTCTGGGTAAGTTCAGTTTCTATATTTTAATATTTTGTGAATACAGCTGTCCTCACGTATTCGTGCCTTCTAGACAACATCCCCATCAGTGCTGACAATGTCTCGCATACTAGTTTTATTCAGCCGTCGTTGAGGTTTCATCCACTACTACACGTGAACAGTTACTTTTTCACCTAATTTCTCATAGGTACTTTGGCCACTGAACGCGACCACAATTATTAATATGGTATATCTGTTTGCACCCGTGTAACTTCAAAGCGCCGTTTTGGCCACATACACATTCCCCCTAAATTTAATGAAAATTTCCTTTTCGGCACTCTAGTAACCGTTTTTGTAACTATCGCACTGCATCTAATGCATGTTTTGTTTATTCATAAAAGTCAATTGACGAAAAGTCTGGGTTAAACATTCAAACCAGCTGTCACTCCTCAAAGGCAGCCCATTTTTGCCCCATTTTGCTAGTAGATACCTGTTTCTGTGACCAGGCAATCGGCTTATGGAATCCAGAACTCTTTGAGGCTCAACCTTGGCGTAATGCCATGGTCTGCGGATCTTTTCGATAGATTGAGCTATATATGATGGTATGCTTTGGCGTTTTGAAAAGCCACTCTATACTGCATTTGTTGGAGCTCAACTAAATTCGGCATCCTGGTCTTCTATGATTGAGTTCTGGCCACTAAGATGCTTAGGTCCTGGTTAACTCGGTTCGGTTTGAAGGATATCAGCGTATTCTCACCAAATTGCACAAGTTTTTCAAGTAAAAGCTTTAGTTGTGAACCCTAGAAAATCTCCCCGGGCTTTAATGTTTTGGAAGCCCCAGAGCCAGCGTAGAACCGTAACCTTTAAGAGACTCCGGCCTCATTCTGCATTAGTCTTCACTGTTTCAGAGCGATCACATAGCGTGCCGCATACAGCAGGGTGAAAGAGCAAAAGTACACTTTTATTGACTCCTCTGAATAACCACGATATCAGCTACCTCCCAATTGCTCACCGCTGTCATACGTCACGCAACGTCAGCACACATCAAGTGTTTCGCTAATACTTCCTCGCCTTGTATAACATGATGCAGTCACGGAATCAGTGACGCTCCTGTATTCGGTTTATTACACCACTATCTTAGTATTCCCTCCCGATTGATCTCATTTTTTATTTGGTTATCTTTTCATCGCGTCATATTTGCTTTCCTACTGTTTTACATTCGTCAATTGCTAGATTTTCTGGCGACGCAAGTACCACGACTGCAAGCACGGCACTTCGGTGTCTGGATCATGGCTCTTCACTTGAGCCAAAACACATGGTTGCAGAGGACAATGAGAAAAAGTTTTGCAGGTTCACTCACCTACTTCGGCTTGGGCACCCGCGTAATACCACTTCCTCTGACAAAACCGTAGGTTTCGCAAACCCTACTAGGTCGCTCGCTTCTGCTCCTGCCTTCACTGCTCACCCGTCAAATTTACTTTGGTTAATAGTCCTCGTTCTCTAGGAGCGACTGGCAGCTCTCAATGTTCGATCGCTCATGTAGATCGGATAGCAGACGAACCTAGTGCGTACCATAGAACCCCTCACTACCGATGTTTGTTGCCTTTTCGAGACCAGATTACAGGACTCCAGCGCCGTGGTTAAGTTGAAGTCCCCTACTGGTTTCGGAAACAAATTTCTCCTGCATCTGTCATGTGACACAGCTGACTTGGTTGGTATTGGCATCGTATTAAGTGACACATGTGAGGTCGCACTACTCGATTGGTTCCAGATTGACAGCCGACTGCCTGCGGTTCTGATCATGCAGAATCAATATTGTTATGTTCTTTGTATCCTTCAGTCAATGTCAACCCACGGAAGATGAGAAGCCAAGCAAACACTCATAGAAGATATACTTCGGGTGTTAAAGTCCAGAGAGATTGAGCGTCGCATAGTGAAAAGAAAAGTGCGTCACAGTCCAGAATAGGATTGGCGACAAGCCGAAATGGAGAAAAATACAGTTGTAGTTACCGAACAAAAAGGATGAACTCGTTTGGAAGCGGCCCTCCCGAACATCCCGTGGGATTGCATGTTCATATGACTGCTGTCATGGATCCAGCTGCATAAATACACGCTGCCGTCTGATTCGATCTGTCCATCTTCTCGGTGTATAATCGATTATATGGACTGGCCCGATGACCTCATCCGGAGGCTTGGGCCTCGGCAAGAGCTCAAAAATATCCGGGGGGAATGTCAGTTAGTAAAGCAAGGTAGTGAGGCGTTGTGTGGCAGGGGGACGAACGCAACTGGTTGGCTTGGTGGACCCATAGTGAGGAGTGTACATCCACTTCATAGCTAACCTTGTCCGTGCGGCGTGCGATCAGACCCCGCGTCTACTTTTCGTCATCATCGCGATAATCCTCAGCCAACACAAATTGACTAACATAAAACATGCGATGCACGACACCGTGATGACGGTTAAACCGGTTCTTCATGCAGGTGTTTCGACCGATCGGCCGACCTGAGGCTGGACGAATGACGTCGAGAGGTAAAAATAGCTTTCAGTTCATCAAAGCCTGTTGTTGAGTTTCCATTTAGTGTATTAGCATTTGGCGTTAATCTGTAACTCAGCAAGAAGGTTCTGATGATTTCCCGAGTAGTTCCTTCTCCTTTGAGCTTTAACAGCGATCTCTTAAAAGTGTCAACGAAACTCTCCATTTGGCCGCTGGATTTTGGACGGAATGGCGGCGATCGGATATGAAGGATCCTGTTTTGTTCACAAAAGGCAGATAATTCTGCGGAACAACGTTTTACCGGTCAGAGACTAAGGTGTGTGGGACGCCAAAACGCATGCTGTAGCCTTAAGGTAGTAGCACGAGTTGTGATACGATCCATGGTGAAAGCTTCTGGCCATCTACCCTAAGCAGCAACTAAGAGCACATAGTGTTGGCCATTGATTGATCCTGCAAAGTCAACATGAAGTCGTGACCATGAGCAATCTTCTTTTACAATGTGATGTTGTAGACAGTTGGCATTTCGAACAGATTTGAGTAAGCTCTTCCAGGTGTTTATTCATGTTCGGTCAATACAATTAAATACATGCTAAGGTTTTCATGCGATTTACTCTAGGGCGCCCGAAATGGAACTGCCTCTGAACACATTCCTACAAATTTTTAGGTACTGCAACACGTTCGACAGAATGTACACTCATCGACGTCCGCCAATGGAAAACGACGTTGGTAGAATGGTTGAAGTTGTTGAGAAGGACACAACGACGGCCACTGGGTACGATCATCATTACACATTAGCTGGAGGTGGAAAACACCTCAGCTATTGAGCCGCAATACAAAAGACAAGAAAAGGAAAACAAACAGTGGCACGCCGGCTGAGTCCCCAGTAACGGATGGATATCGTTCCGGAGAGCTAACAGCTGACTGGCGTAAAAGGGAGTCATATTATACCTAACAAGTGAGATCCTGCTTGGAGGGGCATGCTAAGCAGGAGGGGGATCGACAAAGGAACTCACAACACAAACGCCATTATGGCCGGCTCCAAGCCATATCAGCAAGTGTGTTTAACCAAACGTCTTCACCGTCCTTAGGACCCCAGCCAGGCAGTCAGGATACACCAACCGACGCCAACTTCGAAGTGAGGGTTTTCATTTCTCTCGACCAAGTCATCACTTGGCCTCCCCTCCTCCTCTTCCAACCGCACCCACAACGCGCAAACAATGCATTTCGCGGGAGTCGGTGTGCTGGCATGCGCAACACATGGCCCAACCATCGGAGCCTGATGCGTGATATAATGGTGCTGAGCGGTTTACTCGCTCTTCCTGCACCAAATACGCGACGCCTAGTACGCTCAATGCTCACGCGGTGCTCCCACCAGACATGAGCTAAGCTGCGAAGACAGCGATGATCGAATGCGACGAGCCTCTTTATGTCTGTCGACCTGATGGGTCAGGTTTCACAACCATATAGGAGAGTTGAACGGATGGCTGCGTTATAAACTCTGCCATTCAGGGCGAGAGTAATGTCGCGTATGCGCCACAGGTGGTGGAGATGGGCAAAAGCATCTCGAACCTTTGCTACACGGTTCGTAACCTCATCTTCAATCCCAAGAGTACTATTATAGCTGCCCAGATAGTTGAATTCTTGAACAACTTCTAGCAGATCACCACCAAGCGTTAGCGCAGGATTGGGTCCCTGCCAACCTTGGAGAAGTACTTTACTTTTCGATGGAGCGAAGCACAGCCCAAAACGATTGACAGCCAGTGCTAATCGGTCCAGTGCTGCTTGGCATGTTTGGGGGCTGTCACAGATTAGGGCAATATCGTCCGCGTACTCTAAGTCAAGAAGTCGCACACCAGAAGTAGCTTCACATATTCTAGGTCATGTCCAGCGAACGCTGTTTCCATGACTTCATCAATAGCGAAGTTGAAGAGGCAAGGTGACAGCGGGCAACCTTGTCTCACACCGTTGGTGATACATAAGGTTGGCGACAGTTTGCCATAAACCCTCACTCTTCTCAACATATGCGCGTACAGCGCTTTGATAATGTTTACATATTTATCAGGCACACCTTTCCTCAGCAGACAGTCCCAAAAGACTGAACCGAAGGCAGCTTTTATGTCAAGCAACACGACAACGGTGGGTCGCCAGTAGACATCGCGGTGCTCCAACACTTGACGTAAGGTGAAGATGTGGTGGGTGCAGCCCCGACCTCGACGAAATCCTGCTTGCTCTCCAAGAATCTGGCTTTCACGGTTGCCAGTCAGTCTGTGGAGAATGCCAGTGGCAAGCAATTTGGAGGCAATCGAAAGCAGACTGATCCCTCTATGATTGCCGCATTCCAAACGGGAGTTTCCCTTTGGAAATTGGGACAATGCGGAGCGGTTCCAGTCTGTTGGGACTGTCTCCTGCTCCCAAAGGTTTACTAGCAACTCGTGAAAATCATCTACTAGAGCAGGTCCTCCGAATTTGAAAATGGCTGGGGGAATTCTAGCTGCCCATGCGGCCTTATGCAATTTCAACAGCCTGATCTCACGT